CAATGTCTAGTCCATTTGCATTTGACAAATTCAGAGAAAATACTCCATTATCTATCCTATCTTAGTGAGCCCAAAGTCTTATATCTAATTTACTTTCTATGATAACTTGCATTACCATCCAAAACTATCTTTTGATGTCTCTCAACATTATACACTTTACACCTCTTCAGTGAGTTTCTTTTCTGAGTCTGGTAAATAAGGAAAACTATAATGATAACTATTTAGTCGTCAACTCCCTCAGAGACCTGAGAAGGACATAATATTAACCGAGTAAACAGGAAGTGCGAGCAAGCAGCTTCCAAAAACTGTGAGTAATGGCAGAAACAGCTGGCCGCCTGGTCAGTCACCCAAGGTTCCTCTGCAACATTGGGGCGTCCATCCCCAGCATACAGGCCTAGAATAATTTATAGACTTTCCTATAAAGCAGAATTTTGGAAGGACTGTTCTGCATTGTCTTGACAGTGTTTTGTAGTCACTCTCTTTAGTGTCCTGCTTGTCCAGTTTGGACAGCACAGCATCAGCAGTCGAGGCAAGGGATTTTCTTGCCCAGTGGCTAACTTATGTCACAAAGAAAGTAAACTCCATGTGGAGTTTCTTCAGTGCCCATTATATTCTCTGAAGTAGATTGGTGCTGCCAGGAGAAGACCTGCCTCATTGTTATATAAAAAAAAAAGAACTTATATTATTAAAACATCTTAAATGCCATATTCTGTAGATCTCTGATATATCTCTATTTGACCTTGGGAACATACCTAATATGACTACAAGTTCAATTATAATAGGTGGCTAATTACTAACCTTCCTTTATCCCAATCATCCTGTTTCCCCAAGTTCTGCCCATCCTCCCCTTCTCACTTCTCTCTCCCCATCTCCCCTTACCCCCACCCCCCCACCCCAAGCTCCCAATTTTCATTAGGTTCTTTAATTGCTCTGAGAAGGAGTTTCCTCCCTGATGACAAGGAGCAACTGAACCGGATTTAGCATAGGGGCCTGCAAGAGGCCCGTTAAGGAGTTTTCCAACAGCAATGGGTTACCTTGAATGCCTTTTGTTGATATACATTCATTAATACAATATCTGCCTTTGCCACACCTTCTGCATAATTCAGAAAGGAGGGGTGTTCTGTTTGGATTATGCTAAATAAAAACATTTTTTTCTAGGAACATCCTGTTTACAGTCTCTTTTAAGGTGACCTTGTTTGCCACAATGGAAACACTTGACATTTTGATTTTTCCTCAAACTTCTGAAAATCACCTCTCCTACCCAAACATGATCATTGTCATTAGATTCAAATGATCCATTTCCTCCAGGGGCACCGATCTTGCCTTTAAAGGCCTAATTATCCTTTTGCATTGAGAATTAGAATTTTCAAAAGCCAGAGATTCAATTATTATTTGTCTAGCTTCTGAATTTGTTATTATTCTATTATACTACTGATGTCAGTCTTTGTAAGAAATCAGTGAAGGTTTCTTTTGGGCTCTGTGTGACCTTGGTAATCGACTCAATCTTCTTTCCTACTTCTTCAATTCTGTCCCCAGCACTCCAAGCTGCTGCACAGCATAAAGCCAGGATGTGGATGTGGCCATCATATAGGGATTGCTTTTCTTTAGCATAATCTCCTCCAAGAAGTTGATCTTGAGGCATTTCCATACTTCTAGCTCTACTCTGTTCTTCAATGGTTTAGCCTCATCTTTGAACCAGGTCCTCCATTGTAATTGTGGACCAGGCTTCAAGACTGCTGTAGCCAAGTCTCTCCAGTCTTTAGGGATAATTCTATTACAGGTTGATCATGAGTTTAACATTTGCTTCTTCACAAATGGTAAATGCATGCTATATGAGATTATCACATCCTTGAATCTCCTTAAATCTGGCATTGCCACAGGAGTCCAATCAGCTCTTATAGAGCCTCTATCATTTGGCAATTCCTATAAAGTTCTGGATATAGTGAGGTTGGTTGTTTGAAAACCTTAGGCTGGTCTTCTCTAATCTTAAAATGCAATGCTGAAATTGGTTCTCTATTAAATTCCTCTGTCTTTGTTTGAAAATCTTTATGATCTGTTTTATTAAGTTTTTCTAAGGCTCTTATCTTGACACTCATACCAAACCATGTTATAAGAGATAAACCAAGAATTATCAAAACGACAACGAGGATTATCAAACTGATAATTAACAGTATGTCAATCCCAGTTAAGTTGATTATACCTTCATTTAATTGTTCTATTTTTAAGTCATGCAGAGACATAACTTTCTTTAACGTAATTGTCTTTTCCATTTTTAAATATGGGAAAAACTCTTTTAACTAATTCCTCCCTTTAATAATTCTAAATTTTCTCCAAATCTTCCAATGATGTTGATGGACATGTGACTGAGTGCTGCTGCTGCTGCTGCTGCTGCTGCTGCTGCTGCTGCTGCTGCTGCTGCATAGAGCAGTTGAAAGCCTGACTGGATTTCATGGCAGCTACGTAGTTTGACAGCCAAGAAAAGGGTCCAGGGAGAGTCCACCAGGAGAGAGGAAATGAAAACCTAAGTAGCAGGGTGGTGACTCTGGCCATGTAGAGCTCTGGCCTATGCTGGTGACTGCAAGGCCACAGGCAAGTGGCTTTTTTTCATGAATTTGTGCCCCCAAAGTTGTATGTCAGATGTAGCCCGAATTCTAATTGATATTAATAATAAAATCTCAGAGCCACATATAGGGCTTAATGCTGAAGATAGAGAAGCAGAGCAGCCAGCCACTAGAGAATTCTTTTTTTTTGGGGGGGGTTCATTTTTTTTAATTAATTAATTAATTTATTTATTAAAGATTTCTGTCTCTTCCCCACCGCCGCCTCCCCTTTCCCTCCCCCTCCCCCAATGCTTAGACCAAACTGGTGATCCTGTCCTCAGACTGCATCTCCAGAAACCATCGTTCTCCACCAAACCTCACACTGCACTGAGCTCCTGTCTCCTCCTGCCTTATAGTCCCCTCTCTGCCCAGCCATATCACATTGGTTTCCACCTCCCTAATGCTGGGATTAAAGGTGTGGGATCCCAAGTGCTGGGATCACCTTTGTGTGAGCTCTGTTTCTCTTTTTGACAGATTCAATCTTGTGTGGTCCAGGCTAGCCTAAAACTAACAGGGATTTCTCTGCTTCTGTCTCCCCGAGTCCTGGAATTAAAGGTGTGTGCCATCACTCCCTGGCCTCTAGTGGCTTAACTCTGCACTCTGATCTTCAGGCAAACTTTATTTGTTAAAACATAAACAAAATATCACTATACAGAATCCTTATAGCTTCTAGGGTCTCAAACTAGATAAGAGCCAAACAAGCTCCCTATGTTCACAAATAAGTATTTCTATGTATGGTCTTTTGAAAGTTAGACCATTTTTGGGTTACTAAAGCAGTCCTATAGTGGTGATTATGAACTCTTCATAGGTGTACACGGTTACTAAGACACCAGTTCCGGCTCTATTTCTGTGAGGTAAATAAAGTGTTTGAGTTTTTCTCACTATTTATGATGGTGTCTGCAGGAAAGAGGGACATAATATTCCCACTTGGAACATCTTCCTCTCCTACTCCTTCTCTACCATTTGTCTCATAGAGGGATGTGACTGGCTCCTGGGCCAGTACTCCTATGTGCTAACCCAGAGCGAGAGGAATTTTCCCAGTCTCTAATGTGGTAAAAGAGTAGAGTTGTCTTTTTTTCTCTTGCCTTGCAGAGCAGACTCATTGTGAGGTACAACAATATGAGAAGGTGCCATGTCTTGGTCCTTAGAGCTGACCCAGTGTTCCCCCTAGGAAAGAGGTCCATAGAGATTGAGTTCAGTGATGTATCCATGGCCACTCACTTGTGCAACATGCATGTCCCTCATTAGATATTTCCAGCAGAGATTGGGCAGCATACTGCCACCAAGGCAGGGATTACTGCTCCAGGAGAAGCCATGTGTTATTGGTAGTCTATTATAGGCCAAGCACAGGGGTATATAGCTTCAGATGTTATCTTCAAGTCTTTACACACTGTTATGTGTGGTCTGCTCCCATAGACCAGGTAGGGAAATGAAGGCTTAAATAAATCTGAACTCATGTCTGTGTGATTATAAGTTTATTACTTCTACATTTTCTTACATAGTTCATTCTTGTTCTAAAAGTGCAAAGTGGTACAGATTCCCTGTGTGTCAGCATCACCATATAGGTTTTTACCGTGACAGTAATGTGTTTCATGTACTCAGCACCCCAGACACGTTAGAAATATAAAGGTACCATGGTGAGTGTGTGTGTGCTGAATTTGTATAAGATAGTTGGGATATCGGCTGAGAAGATAGAAAAGAAGGACAGAGAAAATGGTGTAACTGAAGGTTGGCAGGCACCTCTGAAAAGCCTTTCTCTGCCAGGACCCGCCATTGTAATCCCTTGGCAGTTACCCAGCCCGGTCCCCAGAAGAGCAACAGATACCAGATTGTCTACCAACAAGTTTAAAATAGAAAATGGAGAGATCTTTGGCTGTATTAAATTTTAGGCATGTTAAATATTCACTCTTCTCCTGTCCGAGGTGCTCATGTGTCTCGGCTTTCATTGCTGACTACATACATCTCTTTCTGTGCTGGTGGGAAGGTCATGATTCCCATGTATGTGCTCATCTGTAACTGTTGTTAGCCTAAGTTCAGAAGCCACGCCCTTCCTAGTGTAAGTCTGTGTGTACATAATTTCACATTCCCCCCATCCCATTTAGCTAGAAGCATCCAAGGAGTCATGAGAAGTCCTTCTTATGGTTTTCCTTCAGAGTGTTGACTGGTCAGGATATGTGGGTACCCTCCCTTCCCTGAGGAGGCCTGCCAGACCTCCTACCTCTCACCATGTAACTGATGTTTTTCCCTTACGTGGTATGATGGTTCTTGGGCTGTGCCTAGAGCCAGGCTTGCCTGGGCTGGTAGTCGTGGGGCACATCACTCTTCCTTGCTGTTTATGGGTGCCAGGCAGTTTTAGTAGGCCACAGGATGAGGAAACTGACTGTATGCTACTGTTTGCAGCTTCCTACTTGGTGGACTTGGAGAGGCCCTGCTGGTTTTCTCGGAGCGGAGAAGTTCCTGATGGAGTTGGTCAAGGAAAGGAAACACTCATCTGCTACAGGAGAACACGGCACTCGGGCCTCCCTCTTAAGGAACATAGAAAGAACTCAGAGAGTGCAACCAAGCTGAACTCGGTGTTTGCTGATGACTCAAACACCCCACCTTTCTCATTACCGAGGGGAGGATTTCACAGGGGCCTCTGCACCGCTGCAGAGAAAGGACCCATCTTACATCTTCTCATGCAGGACCATCTTCACTCCGCTGCACCCAGTTCTGCAGAATCAGGAGGCAGGGGATCTTAATGGGATGGCTGTGTCCTCTGGATGGACCGCAGCCTCTGGACACCAGGACTTTCCACCAAACACTGTCCTGTATTTGCGGTTACAGTCCCATGGAGTCTTATTGCTTTTTTTTTTTTTTTTTTTTTGGTGGTGGTGGTGTTTTGTGTCTTTCCATTTTGGAGTCTCTTCCCCCACTTTGATTTTTCTGGTTTACCTGGAGCCCATGCCCACCCACAGAAAACAAGGCATGAATGCTCCTGAGAGTCATGTAGGGCAGGGCAGGGTTGGGGGCTGGGCAGGATTGGGGGCTGGGCAGGGTTCTGGACCAAATGAGATACCAAGGAAGATCTTTAGACGGTGTTGTGAGTGGAGGGCTCTTGTGGTTGATGCAGATTTACTTATGGTTTCTAAATTTCTTTTGGTTCTTGTGAATTTGTCAGAATGTGTTGAGTTCTGTAGAATCTGTTAGGTTAGGCTGGTGATTAAATCAATTACCTGAAGCCTTTTGAGTCCTATGTGGCCCAGGTGGTCTCCAATGTCTTACGTACTCTGTCTTCTGAGGGCTGAGACTGTAAGCATGCATTCCTATGCCTTTTGTTCCTTAAAGTTTTTTAAAATGTAATTCCTTCATATCTCAGATGAGATCTCAAGGCATTGACCACTGGATTTTATCTCTCACACTAGATTAATGATTGGAGTAAAGTCCCAGACCTTACCACTGAGAAGAAGCTACTTTACACAAAATAGTCGCTTGACTCTGAATCCACTAAGGCTTAAGAAAATAATGCTTCAGTCTAGATATTTCTTCTCACTGATTTTACAAATACTTTTTTTTAGAGGATCAATAAAATGGTCATTTATTAGTTTTCTACAGTGTTCTCAAACTTCAGTGTACAACAGAATCATCCAGAAGGTTCATTAAAACTTACATCACTGACATTGATTCCAAGTTTTGGCTCTGACCAGGTTTGGTGGCACACACACCTTTAATACCAGCTGTTGGAAAGCATAGGCAGGAGGATTTCTGTGAATTTGCAGTCAGTCTTGTCTACACAGAAAATTCCAGGCCAGCCACGGCTATAAAATGAGACCTTGTTTAAAATGAAACAAAACCAGGTTTATGATTCTGATCCTGATTTTTTTTTTAATTTTTTTATTGTTTTTATTGAGCTATATGTTTTTCTCTACTTCCCTCTTTCCCTCCCCATCCTCTTCTGCCCTCTCCCCTTATCCCCACGCTCCCAGTTTACTCAGGAGATCTTATCTTTTTCTACTTCCCACGTAAATCAGATGATTTTTACAGATACTTGATTCTGGCAAGTGTCAGAGAGTTTGGGTCATACTGAGGTCACTTTGCCAGCCCTGGAGTGTAGGAGACCTGTGTCATTGCTGGAGCCCCCACCCCCTGGGATCTGCAAACCTACTCCTTGTCCCAGGTTCAGTCCCAGGAAGAGTGAAGTCAGCTCCATTATCACTGAATGTTTTTTCCAATTTGTTGGAAAACAAAGGAAATGAAACAATAGGATGGATTTATGTATTCAGGATGTGAGGATCTTTAGTTCATCTTGTTCTGGTCTTAGCTTATCACTTAAGGTGAAAATGTCCCAAGACTTGATGCTTATGTGGTTTGCAACTCACTTTCCTAGAGTATTTTTTAGATTTATTTATTCTGTTGTTTTATGTGTGCTGTGTACCATGTGTATGCCTGAAGTAGTGTCACACACAGTAGTGAGCTGCCATGTGTGTGCTGGGAGTTGACCCGTGTGCTGTGCAAGCACAACAAGTGCCCTTAACTGCTGAGCCAACACTCAAGGCCTACAACCCACTTTTAAAATACAATTTTATTTTAAATTATGTGTGTAATGGATTAAGTAAAAATGCTACAGGTTCCTTAGCGACTGCAGAAGGCAGCAGGTCCTGAGAACAGCCAGTCCCAGGCAGGACAGCGCAGTTCTCCAAGCAGGCCTCTGAAGGCTCTGGTCCCGGGCAGGAAGCCATGCGGCAAGGCGAGACACAGAGACATGGATAGGCATGCCATGCAGGGTGAGGTTGGATATTTATTTAGTGGGTTATGGAGGGGGAAGGGAGAGGGGGAAGAGCAGAGAGGGAGAGAAAGAAACAGAGGGGGAGGGGAGAAATGGGGAGAGACAGAAGGGAGAGGGAAATGGAAAAGGAAGAGACTCAGGCTGCAAGCAGGAAGGAAGATCTGCCTGCCTCAGTGGACAGGGGAGAAGTGGGCATGGCTTGTCTCTTAAAGGGACAGGACAGATCATTACAATAAGTGTGTGCACAGTGAGTGCAGGTGCCCCAAAGAGGCTGGAAGAGAATATCGGATCCCCTGGAGATGGAATTACAGGAAGGTGTGAGCTGCTTGACGTGAGTGCTGGGAGACAAACTTTCGCCCTCTGCATGAGTGTCACATGCTCTTACCTGCCGAGCATGTTTCCAGTCTAGAACTCATTTCTGCTCTTCATCTAGTGTAGCACCTAGTAAGTATATAGTAATATCCTGTACATCAAATGGAGAATCTGGGCTTAGAATTTTCCTCATTTTAATTCCCCTAAAATTCTCTGCCTGCCACCTCTACCCCCAAATTGCAAATGGTGGCTGTCCAAACGTCATCCTATGCCCATCTTTCTAAATGTCAGCTAAGTGGTTGGGAGTCCTCAGCTCCAACCATAAAGCACTCAGCCTCAGCCCCATCTCTAGTTGGGTGTATTAAAACCCTCACTGAAACCACATTCCGGAGTCCCATTGTGTCTTCTTCCTTGAGTATGTTTGTACTGTGATGACAGAGAGAGACAGAGGACCAGTTGCTCCTTCAGCACACTGACCCCCAGCTTCCATCTGTGTAGCCCCATTCTCATGCTCAGTGACCCAAGTGGGGCTCCCCTACACTGCATTTCCCCTAGAGCTCTACTGCGGCTGTCTGGCCCAGGGCTCCGCGGTATCCATAGTCCTTATGTCATCATGCCTATTTAATTCTTAATCCTTACCAGCTTTATTTGTTTGTTTGTTTTTTGAGGCAGGGTCTCTGCTATGTAACCATGGTTGTCCTGCTGGAGGTGTAGGCCAGGCTAGCCTTGAACTAAGCTTCTGCCTCCCCAGTACTGGAAATACTATCATTCCTGACTCCAGCTCCATTGAAAAGCCAGTGTGGATTTTTTTTATTGCATCAATAAAGAATATGCTTTCTTTTGAGAAAGGCAAGATTCTGTGTGGTTGTGTATTAAGCTGCACTATTATGGCTATAAAGAAAAATAAACCACTTATTTTCTTGATAATTTGCCTATTTTTCCTTAAAAAAAAAAAACTCCACAGGGGAGAACTATAGAAATGATTGATGGCGTCCCTGGGAGCTGAGTTCTTAGGGTTGTTGCCGCTGCACCTTGTTTTTAAATGGGTCTCCTACTGTAGCTCAGATTGGCCCTGAAGTCAAGCCCGTCTTCTTGTCTTAGACCGCTGGATGCAAATGACTTGAGCTCTAGCCTAGGCCTTTCCACCCTTTCAGGGCCTCGTGGCTAACTAACTCCAGTGAATGGATACAATGGACAACTGACTTGGTTCAGGCTCCCTCAAGGGTTCAAAAACTCCCCAACCATCTTTGACGAAGGGAATACTGGAGGACACACTCACAGTCACTCTCCTGCAGTAGGTGGATGACCTCCTGACAGCAGCGGACACTGAAGAAAACTGCAATGTAAGCACTGGTGATTTACTTACTGCCTTGGAAACTCTGGGGTACCGGGCATCAGCTAAAAAGGTCCAAATCTGTCAAACTAAAGTGACTTATCTGGAGTGTATACTCAAGGGAGGGCAGTGTTGGCTTTCTGAAGCCTGTAAAGAGACTGTGCTTAAAATGCCTACCTCAACTTACAGCAGGGATGTTAGAGAATTCCTTGGGTCAGCTGGCTTCTGTTGACTCTGGATTCCCAGCTTCTCTGAGCTGGCTAAGCCACTGTATGAGGAAACAAAAGAGAGCCAGCCCTTTCAATGGGCCGAGGTGAAGACAAGGCCTTCAATAAAATAAAAAAGGCCCTCCTCTGGGCGCCCGCACTGGAATTACCAGGGTTCATCAAAACCTGTCACCTATACGTAGATGAAAGAAATGGCATAGCTAACGGGGTCCTCACTCAGACTCTAGGCCAGTTGTCTACCTGTCACAGAAATCCCTTGTTTCTTTCTAGTTCTTCTGAGCACCATCCTAGGCTTTTGCCACCAGAAGGTGATGTGGGTGGTCTCAAGCCATTGCCCTTTTCCAGAACAATATGCCTCCTTTTGCTGAGTTCTTGGATTAGCATGGTTAATGGCTGGGGTTGGGGAGGGGCCCTAGGAGCCTGGGAGATGGTCTGGACAGAGGGCACTCTTCTCTTTTCTCGACCTGTGGGCCTGAAAAAGGAAGTGCTGTCCAGATCTGCTGAATGAAAGACGGTGACACGGGTGGAAGGCTCCTGATGCTTAGAAAAAGACTTCACTATTGAGTTGCTCTAGACAAGTACTGAAAAACACTCCGTGGGAGACAGGGTCAAGTGGCTGAGACTCCAGGATGGCCTTACGGTCCTTTAGTTCCTGTTCTCGATGAAGCAGACATAGGTGTGAGGGCTCTTGGGCTCTTCCTACTCAGTGTCCAGGCGTCAGGGTCTGTCCCTGAGCTCAGCTTGGAGAGGCTGTTGGATCTTGTTGCCAAGGAGGTCCTCACCCATGCCCAATGTCATTTCTGTTCCTTCTCTAGATTCTGGGATGGCCACTAGGATGTGGTGGCAGTGGTGTTAGGTGACTTTCAAAGCCCGGTCAGAACCAGCTTTGCAGTGTTTGTCTTGGTCTTCTGGGATAGTCTATGGGAATGGGAGCCACCATGCTGAAGAGACCAGCACCTATTGTTGGAGACAGCCATGATAAGCTAAATATGAACAGATCACCCAAAGGAAGTTCTTTACTTCCAACCATTATCACCTGCCAGTGTAGGACTCAGCCATCCATAAATTTAATGGAGGCCGGAGTCTCAGTAGTTTACCCTGAAGCAATACCTGGTTGCAGGAAGAACCACAAACTGAGATTACCCAAGCACCACCCAAAAACAGACCATCCAAAGGAAATGCCTAACATTCCAACTGTTGTAGATAGGATCACCTGCCAGCACACACTCACCAGGACACCCCTAGACAAATGTCAGCAAATCAGCAGTCCTGGACCTCAGAAAACCCTCACCCCCACTTTTACTACTATAAAAACCCAACTCTAACTGAGCTTGGGGCTCTCTGTTTATTCCAATACGCTGGACATGAGGAGAGACTGAGTTTGCAAACTTGTATAAAATAAAGGCTCTTTACTTTTACGTTCAGTACTCGGTCTCCTTGTTGGCTTTTGCAGGACTTTGCGGATTTGGGCATAACACTATGTGCCAGTGGATAGACCTCTGTGCCAGCCATCTCACCACCTGTCATGCATGCTCCAGATGAACCCACAGGCAGACCAGCTGAGTGCCATCAAGTGTCCCCAGCCACTGCCACATGGGCAGAAGGACCCCCCATCCAAACAGTGACATACGGTAGCATGATCTTGGGCCACTACGTTTTGTGGCAGTCTGTCACATAGCAACAGAAAGCAGAGCTGTATGGTGGTGCCGCCTTAGCCTATAATCCCAGCTAGGCCAAAGGCTCAGCAGGAAGACTGATTGGGCCCTACCTGGTCAACACAGCAAGGTCTGATCTAAAAGAAAAGAAAAGGAAAAGGAGGGGTAGGGGAGAAAGAGGCAGGAAAAGGGAAAGGACGAGAAAAGTAGAGGGAAAAAAAGGGAAAGCAGGAAAGAAAAATCTACTATGAACTAGAGCAGAGACCCCAGCCTTGCCTAAAAGATGTGGGATAAATA